GAGCCTGGGAGTGCGTAAAACACGAAAAAGTGCACTCTCACAGTGTCCCGTTTTGTATATATATATATATGTATGTATGTATGTATGTATGTATGTATGTATGTATGTGTGTATATATATATACACACTAATACTTATAGTTAGGTACTTACAGCCTAAAATACAAAGTCCCTCTTGATGCTCCAAATAGGCTTTTCAGTGACCCATTGGCAAGAAAAAACACGTACTCTTAAGGGGGCTAGCTGTGTGATAATAGGAATCCAGAAACAACAAGCAACAAAATGTATACCACGGATCAACCTGGAAGCATAAAGGAATCCACTAGCCATCCAAAGCGAGCAGAGAGCACAGGAATGCACTGAGAAGTATTGTGCCGGCAGGCTGGTGCAATCCAAAAGCGGCCATCCGGACAGTAAGCATGATAGCCACCCTCCACCTCAATGAGTCCATCTAAGTCGCCAGACCATTGGGCGTAGGGATTCATGAAAGCTGGGTCAGTCATCATCGTGCCGGTCGTATTGCAAAGCCGTACCTGACTGTCCACGGACATATTTAGGGTTTAGGGCCCTAGGGACATATTTAGGGTTTAGGGCTAGGGTCTAGGGCTCTACTGACATGTGTATTCAGGTCACCCCATGCTGCAGTGTGTTTTCTGTGTTACGGCTTATGGTTCAGGGTGCACAATTATTATACCTTCACACTACATCCCTGAGCCAAGACCCCAAACCCCGCCGAACCTGAAAACTCCGCACCCTTAACTAACTGGACTTCACAGGTGCCGCATCAGCAGGTAAGCTCCACGGAGAGTCGAAGAAGCGTCTGACGTCGTTGTGGGACGGGCTGTAGGACTTGTAGAACTCGAGGGCAATGCCAGACTCCTGCGTGATAATGAAACCTGAACCCGAAACCCGAAAACCCTAGATAGGACACCCTAAAATCTAATCCCTATTTACACCTTAAACCCTAAAAACCCTGAAACAACCCTAAAACCCTAGACACGACAACCTAAACTCTGTACCTTAGAAGCCAAGGGCCTAGATACCTATGAAACGTGCTACGCTACTACGGTGTGTTGGTTCTATAGGGACAAAACCCTGTCCGCTTGGGTTTAGGGTTTAGGGTTTAGGGATTAGGGTTTAGGGGTTTCGGGTATAGGGTGAAACCCTAAACCCTATTCCCTAAACCTACGCCCTCAGTTTGAAACCATAACCCACCATGGCAGTAACTGAACAATCCAGATACTAGCTAACCCCGAGCAGCGTCGGGATGAGCATAGTTTTATTTACTGCATATAGAAGTAACGTGGCAGTCTAATGTTATATATATATATACACATATACATATAACATCTTATACCCTGCACATATATGTATGTATATATATATATATATTTGTATATGGTGTTGAGAAAATAGTCAGTACTATAAATTTGAATTCAAGGAAAGTGAGTGGAGAATCCAGAAGGCCTCCCAGCCCGGATGAAGCTAGGTGGTGGGGGAATCCCATACAAGAGCCCTGTTTAGGGTTTAGGGTTATATAAGATATCATCAATTAATGTAGGGGCTTGGGGGTTCCTTATTATAATTGTAGTATAATGGGCCCCAAAACCCTATTCTGATTATTATGGCCCCCACAGTAATCTCGCCACTCTTCACCCCTGTTTGTACAAGGAGCCATCACTCTCGCCCATGCTTTTCCCCTGTTTGAGGCCCGTGCAAACCAAAAGAGCTCAGTCAGCACATGTACGTGTATGTTGCCCCATAAGACAAGTGAAGGCCTGAACCCCTACACCCCTAACCCTAAACTCTACCCTACACACTTTCAGCACAAAGCCCCAGAACTGTAAAATACACCAACTTCCCGCTTCAAGCCTCTAACCCGGAACCCTAAACCCAACCCCTTCCCACCCTAAACGCTGAACCTCTAGTGTAGGAGCCTTATTAATTAGAATAGGGTTTTTGCGGGCTCCGTCACAGTATCTTTAGAAGAAGGAAACCCCCAAGGAATACGGTGGAGTAGAGTGCTAACTATGCAGGCTTCTATACAAAAAAATACTCTACAGAAGGCCTAAACCCTAAACCCCTAAACCCCTAAACCCTAAACCCCAAAACCGCCCACCCTAACCCCTAAACCCTAAACCCCTAAACCCTAAGTTCACACCCCTCGGGGGCCTCATAGGCAGAGGTCAGCGTCGGCCTCGGCACATAGAGGGCTTCCTCGCCGGCCCATCCCATGCTTCCGAGATCCACAGGCGCCTCGGCTGTGAGGCTTTTTTTGTTTTTAAAGGGTTTAGGGTTAGGGTTAGGGTTTAGGGTTTAGGGTTTAGGGTTTAGGGTTTAGGGTTTGGGTTTAGGGTTTAGGGTTTTGGGTTTAGGGAGGGTTTTGGGTTTAGGGTTTAGGGTGTCAGGCTTTTTTTAAAGGGTTTAGGGTTTAGGGCTCAGGTTTAGGGTTCAGGCTGATAAAGGGTATAGAGTTTAGGGTTTTTCTGTGTAGGCCAAAAGTTCTCTTCAGGATTTTGGAGCTTCGGAATTTCGGAGGCTTCAGGTAGGAGTTGGTGGGGGGTTTAGGTTTAGGGTTCAGCTGACCCCCCCAGCCCTAAACCCGGGATCCGAATCCCTAATCCTTCAGCCTCAACCTCAGACGCCTCCCTGAGAACAGTGGTGACCTGAACCACGCGCCATAAGCACTGTTGATGATAGAAATCCTGCATTACCTTATTAAGGACGCTAAACTATAGGAATGCTGGTACTGGCAGTTAGGATTAGGGGGGCCCTTGGGGATATCGACCCTCTCTCAATAAGGTCCCCTTTAAGAGAGCCACAAGTAGGCTTCAGAAGGGTCCCCTTTATGGGGTCTCCCTAATACTACCTAGGAATAACTAACAAGAGCTCAGGATGGTAGTGGTTTAGGGTTTAGGGTTTAGGGTTTAAGGTTTAGGGTTTAAGGTTTTGGGTTTAGGGTTTAGGGTTTAAGGTTTAGGGTTTAGGGTTTAAGGTTAGGGTTTAGGAATTAGGGTTTAGGGTTTAGAGGCACCTTGGCCGGATGCCGCTTGGCAAAGACCTCGTAGTCTGCCCCATATGCGCCAATCCAACTCTCCAGAGCAATGTGGCTCACATCGCTGGGGCTGGTCCTTGCTTGTTGTGTTTAAGGACCCTTGTTGCTGACTGCAGTCTCTCATACTTCGTGTGGGGCTTGGTAGTTTATTTTGGGGATGCGACTCACATTGCGGGCGCTGGCCTTTCGCTACACATATCTGTGGTACACGTGCGGCAGTGTTTATCATGATTTTTGACTGGTATGTATTAGGAAGCATTCCTATCACTACCATCACACACCTCAGTTGTCCCATCAATCTGCATATGTAATCATATACGAATACTTCAAAACATGTATGTATGTGCCTATGTGTGTATATATATATATATGTCTGTATGTATAGGCTTATCTATGCACATTAGTAGTGCTCTAGGCTTCTAGGACATGGGTAGTTCTCTAAACAAGGGTCCCCTCCTTATTCTAAGAGTGCCGTACTACTTGGGGGACCTAGAGGGACCCTAATTTTCTAAAAAATGTGGTTGGCGTCTAGTTGGGAGTTAGGATTAGGGGGGCCCTTGAGGATATAGACCCTCTCACTAAGGTCCCTTTTAAGAGAGCCAGGAGTAGGGTTCAGAAAGGTCCCCTTTCAGGGGTCGCCTGATACTACCTAGGACTAGTGGGCTTAGGGTGCTATTTTTTCCGTTTGGTGCCAGGAGTCGGACGTAGAGTCGTGAGGGATTCATGCTCTAACTCACTGGTGAAGCCCTACAATCCTCAACCGTTAATCCCACCATATTTTAGGAATCCTTTGCAGAACTCTCATATGCTGGGAATCCTTATAGGTTCCTTGTATGATACAGGAGCCCTTACCGGTGTTGTAGGCACACGTTCGGCCTTTGAGTTCAGCGCCTTAGAACCACGACGAAAGTAGTTAATCTTGTGTATAATACGTAATGGTAAGACTAGTAATGAGAATAAAAGTCATATGAATACTAATGACTAGAAAAATAGCAACAACTTGGAGCTCTGTTAGACGAAAATGAAAATATTCCCCCAGGGACACCAAGAAAAGACCGAGGCCGGGTCCTGTTGCAGTCCAGATCGAGGCAGCCGGACAGAGGCAAGGTGGCATCCAGAACGCTTAGCGGCCGGAATTCTCGAACTAGGGCCTTGTAGCCCAAGACCTGCTTCAGATCAGGGCGTCAAGCTGCTTTAAGGTGTAGGCTTCGAAGCGTCTCCAGCATCATGACCATCAATGCCACCAAAATAATAAAAAAACATCATCATCAATATCATCATCATTATTTTCTTCTTCTGCTTCAACCTCATCGTCATGATCATGGCCGCTAGCATCACCATGGTCATTTGCATAGTGATCAGCACCATCATGATCATGATTTGCACACCCGTGATAAAGACATCATCAGCACCATAATCAACATCATCCTCGTCCTCAGCAGCAGCAGCAGCAGCAACAGCAGCACCCTTACGTCACGATCAGCATCACCAGCTTTTCAAATTACCACCAACATTGTCAGCACGACCTTCACCACGAACAGCATCAGCAGCAACACTTGTTGCTGCTGCTGCTGCTGCCTTTCAAGACGGCGAATATGTTCGCCACCAGCTGCTACCAAAGTTCCTGACGCACCCCAAACCCAACACCAGCAGTCACAACCTCCGGAATTTTGAAGAGCACCCTAAACTTCAATGACTCAAAAACCCCAAAACCCCAACAACCCTAAGCCTTCAACCCTAAAGCACCCCCAAGGCCTCTTCGACGAGGATTTGGGCGATTGCTGACTCCAGTTCTGCTGACGGCCAATCATAAGCCAGCAGCTCAATCGCCACATCCCGGCCCAGATCATTCCTGTGGCCAGAAAACCCTAAACCCTAAACCCTGAATCCTAAATCCAGAATTTCAGAATTTCACTAGGTTACTGAGTGGCCCCTTACCCAAAAAAACTAATAAGGGTACCCCTTTTTGCCTGATATTCTGAAAAAATAAGGGAACCATACAATAGAAGGGGCAAAAGGGTACTACTCAGGAACCTGGTTCATCAGCAATTCGAGACTTTCCGAGATTTAGGGTACCTTATTTTGGGGTCCTTGTAATAAGGATCCTACTATTTAGGGTACTTAGACTTTTCTTCGGGTCCCCTATTTTCGGAAACCCCCCCTTTGAGGGCTCAGGGATTGCGGACTGTCGGTCGAAGCTTTGATGGATTCGCGGTTTAAGGCGTAAGGTTTAGGATTTAGGGCTTAGGGTTTAGGGTGTAGGGTTTAGGGTTTAGGGATTAGCGGTTTAAGGCGTGACGGCTTGGAGTCTGCCCCCTTCCAGGAGATTGGGAGTTTCCGAAAATAGGGGGTACCTTATCTTGGGGTCCTTGTAATAAGGATCCTACTATTGTAGGGTACTAGATTAGGTTCCCCTATTTTCGGAAACCCCATATCGAACATGCTCCTTATGATCCCCAACCGCATCATGCCCCCGAAAAAAAAAACAATCGAACTCCACCACAAGCCATAAACCCAAACGCCAAAAGCCTACAAACTCTAAACGGCTCTAAACCCAAATCAAACCCGGAAGCCCGATAAACTTGAAGCGGTCCTGATGTACTTGCGTGCGCCGTCTTCTATGCCGTCTGGGAGACAAAGCTCGGCCCAAGAACGAAGCACCAGCGCAAAAACCCACCATGCCCGCATGATCCAGGTTCGATGAAGGCCCCTTTAGGGCTCTACCCGAATTTTACACTGATCTGGCAGTGTTTAGTTCGGTCATCTTTGCGACATACACATTGCTATGGGGTTTAAAATGCAGGCGGGCGGGGTGTGCACAAAGAAACAGTGCAAGAAAGGTTTGTTTGAATCACACTGTTATTTGCTTGTAATTCCAAGAATAGTCTGAGTGCACGGTGGGCCGTTTAGAGTCCGAAATTGAAGACGATTGCCGCGGGATTTATACTCTAGGGCTCCAGTTGCCGAAATCATGAACTGTTGAGTTGAGGTATGTGTATATATATATATATGTATACATATATATATATATATAATTATTATTTTCTACTCATACACAGGCCTTGAAACACCCTATTCAGGCAACTGGAGCTCTAGGCTTGCATACCCAAATCATGAGCAGGCTCTCTGCCTGGGCTGTTGGGCCGGAGCGTCGGCAAACCCCTCGAAGAAAGAGACAGGGGCGACCCGAGCTCCTTAAGTTGGGTGTAGGGTTTAGGTTCTGGGGTTTCGGGTTTAGGGTTTGGGGTTTACGGTTTACGGTATACCCGGAGAGTGCAACGAGGTATATGGACCCTCTAGGACCTAGAGTAATCACCTTGTTCAGAATCCGAGCTACTAAGTCATAAGGTCCTTTTACGTAGACTCTAAACCTTGGACCTCAAAGGCAACCCTACAATGGAAGCCCATAGTGCCCTTAAGAGGAACCGTAACCCCCAGTTACTAAGTCCCATGATCCTTTGAATACCCTCAAAGGCCCAAGCCGGGATCATGGGCTTCTGGGGAACTGGGTCTAGATTCCTGTAAGGGCCGATGTGCCCAAAAGGTTAAGAGTTCCTTCAATTTAAGGGTACCACATGGCCATAAGGGTTCTATAAGGGTTGAGAGTGTAAGGGTCCATGTGCCCAAATAGTACATACTTTGGCCCCAAAGTATCTCGATATAGGGACTACATGTAATGCTAAAGTATATACTGTTTGGCCTGGACCCCTAATGCTTCGTGATTCTTGGCTTGAGAGCACCCTGAAACCCCTAAACCCCTAAACCCTAAACAGACAAGACTTGAACCTGCGAACCTTTTTCACTGTAGCCTTTCCCTTTTAGGACCCTTTCTATAAGGGTGCCGTATTTTTTGGGGGACCTAAAAAGGGACCCTAATTTAGAGAACTCGCCATTAGTTGAGGTTAGGGAGTTTCAGTTTCAGAGACAAGGTGGCAAACGTGCTTCTCACCCTCCACCGTGTGGGAGTCAAGGGATTCGTGAAGTCCTAGCAACCTCGCCCTAGGCCTCCACATAGACGGCTCTGAGTCATCTAGGAGTTCGGTTCGGGGTTTAGTTTGGAGAGTTCATGAATCCCTAAACCCTAAACTCCCTAAACCCTAGACCCTAAATCCCAAACCCTAAACCCTAAATCCTAAACCCTAAACCGTGGCTACCTAAATACTAGGTTACCAACCATAGATTACGTACCCGAGTAACCCATGACTTAAGCCTCACTTGGAGGATCAGGGACTTTGCAAGCCAGGTTACAAGCCCCTAAACCCTAAACCCTAAACCGTGGAAGGTCTTAGGGTTTAGGGTTTAGGGTTACCTTACTTGGGGCTATACGTAGCTCTATGCATGAATTACCTTTTTTATGGCCCTAGTCACTAAATCTCATGATCCTGTAAGCCCTAAACCCTAACCCGTAAACCCTGAACCTGACTTCCTAAGTCCCATGTTAAACCTGAACCTGAGTGCCTGAGTCCCATGATCCTTGACGTAGACCAGAACCCTCTAATGGAAACCTATGGTACCCTTACCAGGAGCCCTAAAACCCTAGATACTAAGTTCCATGATCCCTGAAGTACTCCCAATCCTGGGTTCTGTTCATCAAAGTCATTCAAGTCATTACCATAATGGGTGTCTATAGTAAATAGTATGGTATCTTGAATGAAACCCGAAACCCCAACCGTAAACCCTAAACCCTAAACCTTAAACCTTAAACCCTAAACCCTAAACCCTAACCCAGAATCAGGCTCTCGGGCCAATGCGTTCAGAGCCGGACCTCATCTTCGAAACTGACGGGCGCAGCCATGGCCGGACAGTAGCGAAAAGATGGAGTCTCCCCTTCATTCGGCTTAGTGTTTGAGGTTTAGGGTTCAGGGTTTGAATAGAGAGTTTTGAAATTTCATCAGCAAGCAATGTCCCGGAAATCATGGGCAGAACTCCAGAAAAAAAACTAAGCTCCGGGTCTCTGTGTCCGAGGCAGCTGAACCATAAAGTGAATCGATTGAGCTTGGATTTGGGGGTCAACAGTCTGCAGTCGAGACTTTCGATGGTTTCGTCGAAATTTCGGATCGCTGACTCGGGTCATAACCCTAAGACTCCAAATAGCCAAGTAGGTACTACTTATAGACTATAGACCCCAAAGTCCCCAAAGTGGGTACTATTTGTGTGCTTGGCTGCGTCCAGATAAGAACGCAGTTAAGAACCACAGCCTGCCCAAACTACTCAGCCGGCAAAACCAGAGGCACTGGAAAATAAGAACATTAGGGCAGGCTACTCTCCCGGGATGGGGTTCTTATACAGGGATTTCACTGTACTTTGTCTACCATTGGTTTATGCGTTCATGTTTATATATGAGATCACTGTCGAGTGTTTCCGCCAACAGGAGATTTCATAAGATTCGAAATCTTGACCTGCAGTGCCCCAAGCCCCCCTAAACCAAAGCCGCCCTAAACCCGGAAGCTCCAAAAAAACAAAAATAAGTAAACCCAAACAGCCCTAAACCGAACAAGCCCTGAACCCCAACAGCCCTAAAACCCCCCCAAAAAAGCCCTAAACCAAAAAAAAAAAAGCCTAAACCCCAGCAGCCCTCCCCCAAAAAAGGCCCTACCACACAGACAGCCCTAAACCCTGAAGCCCTAAAGCAACCGATCAAAAAGGAAGCCCTAAACCCTAAACCCTAAACCCCTAACCCCTCAACCCTAAACCCCTAACCCCTCAACCCTAAACCCTAAACCCTCAACCCTAAACCCTAAACCCTCAACCCTAAACCCTAAACCCTGAACCCTAAACCCTAAAAGGAAGCCTGGGTTTTCTCCATTTTTGTCAACCACCGCGTCGCATCAACGGCCGAAGACGTGGCCCTCCTTCTCCGAAGAGCGTCGGTACATGCCGGCCTTGGGGGGGGTGTATGTAGGTGTTTAGGGTTTAGGGTTTAGGGTTTAGGGACTGTTTTAGGGTTTAGGGTTGGGGGGTGTACGTAGGTGTTTAGGGTTTGCCTGGGTATCCAGAAACCTACCGTTTTAGGGGGGTTAGACCTTCAAACTAAGGGGTCATAACTTACTATTTTGTAGGGTTTGGGGATGCAGGTAGGGTCTATAGGGCTTAGGGCTTTGGAGGTTTAGGGCTTAGGGCTTTGGGGGATTAGGGTCTCGGGCTTCGGGGTTTAGGGGTTTTAGGT